TAGAATAAAAAAATTGAAAAAATATATATTTAATTAAACTAACTAACTAAATAAATTAAATTGAAATAACATTAAATTAAGAATGTAATAAAATAATATAATATAACGTAAAAAACATAAAATAAAATAAAATTAATTATATATTTAAAGTAAAAGTTGAAAGACATAAGATAAAATAAATTAAAATAATGTAAATTACAATAGAATAAGATTAAATTAAAGTTAGATAAAATAAAATTAAGCTAATGTAAAATAAAATGCTAAAGTGAAAAATAAAAAAAATTAAAATATAATGAAGGTAAAAATGGTCTTTGAGCGAACTGCTCTTAGTGAAATGAGTGCTTTTTCTGGTAAGTTTGAAGTTTCACTTGTAGATATTTTGTTACAAGGGCTCATTTATTTACACACACACATTCATTTTCGTATACGATATATAATATATTCGAAAATTTCTGCTTAAATCTGTGTCAGCGGAAAATATTGGATAATCAGTTGGAAATCACTGCGGCTTCACGCCTAGACGACATACGCAGCTGACCTTCCTCCACAAAAATCTTTTGTATGTATTTTTTATGCGAGGCTAAAACCAACGAGCTACAACACAAATCGACTTAACTTAATTTAGTCAGCACTAAAAGTGCTATTTTTTTTACCTCTTCGAGGCAGCAGCAAGGACATTACAAAAATAGTATGTATGAATGTATGTGTGTATGTTTGCATTTTTAGGTTAAGCAGAAATTTTGCTAACACAGCGCGGATGGTGTGAATGACCCAGCTGGTGATTCTCTTAACCGCATTAGTGGATTTGATACTTACGCATGTGTAAAAATGTATGTGCGTATATGTTTTTTATTGCACACTAATCTATTTATCAGTTCACAACAAAATCAGCTAGCGTTTATATGTACATATATATGTATATATATATTTTTTTATATGCGTTGATAGTTTGTTACATGTGTTGAAATTATATATTCTTTCAACTAACGGTACTCTTATGCAATTTCCAATCAGATCTTCAATAATCTGCTGAGCAAACTTAAGAAGCTCAACATTGGAGCAACGTAGTTTTTGTTGTTAAGAGAAAATTCCTGAATACACCAAATGACTTGAGGTCGTGTCCCCGGTGCTGGAGTCCCCGTTACTCTCAATAAGAGATCTCTGGGTTTATTCAATAGGAGGTAAACAATGCTTAACGCTCCTCTTCCTTTCGAGAGAAAACTCTCTTTAATGCGATTTACGAAGGAGAGGTCTTGCAAGCCTCGGTCGCTTCATATTATTGGACAGAGATGTTTGCAGTGGAAAACTTCGCTGGCCTATGAGAGTGAAAGCTTCGTAAAAAGCACTTACGTTTAATTTTAGTTTAAAGGGAACTGTTGAACTGTTTTCAGAAAATATATGCGCCAATATTTCGACTCCGTCCGCATTTGAGTCATCCTTTTTTGGAGCAAATATGCAAAAAAAAAAAATCTCACAACAAAGTATTGAGTGAGTGTAAATCCTTTCAGTCGTTAAATGAGTTGGTCGGCTTACTTAAATGCCTGTGTGTACTAATATACTCTACGTGTGTATATGTATGTATATAAGTTTTTTCATACGGTCGTCCCACTCTTATGTGTGATTTAGTTTGGATTTGTCAAAGGCTTTTCTTGTGCTTTTTTTTTGTTGTGGCATTAACTACAACAGTAGATTTTTCTCATTTGCAACATCATCAAAAAAAGTTCTGTATGCGAGTAAAAGAACAGAGTTGAACCAAAGCAGAGCTGACCACTAATGCGTTGATGATGTTTTACTCACATGGGAGAACAGTGTGTGCAAAAACACTAAAGTGAACGTAGCAATTAAAGTAGATAAGTTTTGGGGTAAATGAAAAAGATAAAAATGTGGGATTAAATGGGTATAGCGATTGAGGGTATTAAGCCAGAGCGGGTAATGAATTTCATATAAATGTAAAAAAAAAAAACTGAAGAAAAGTTTTTTTTTTTTAATTTTTTTAAGTTCATTATGAGCTTTTGTGTACATGTGTATAAAGCTCTAATAAAAGTTTAATTATTTTTTATTTTTGCATTTATTTTATTTCACCTCATTTCGTTTCGAGCGCCAAGAATCACTACAACCATGGCACTGGAAAGGTTAATTCGTTGATTGGTTGAAGTGGTTGCCGGACATCAACTAACCTAATCCCTAACGGGCCCATTGTAATACTACTGCGGATCCTAATGATGTCCACCCTATAATTATATAAATGTTTGAAAACTGGGCAGTCGCCGCATGGTACTCCCCCAAAGTTGTCGCCCCTTGCGACTTCAAAGCACTCCCCCAAAGTACGGGGCATTCGCAGAAAAAGTGTCCTAAGGCTTCATGAGTTTCTTCTTGTCTGCAACTTCTGCAGAAATCGTTAGGTGGTGCGTCCAAACTCTCTGCATGCCTGCCTAAAAGAATATAATATATCTCTTTTCTTCTTATCTCGATAAGGTCACGTGACCTTCTTCCGTTCCATTTTGGTCATATTGTTCTGGTCATATTACATGCATTGAACAACTTTTTAATATTGAGCTTACAAGTGAAGAGCGGCATGCCCAGACTCTTCCATGATGGCGAAAGTGGGATTGAAGTGCCCTTCCCTGAAAGCTCGTCCGCCGTCTCCCTATCTAGTATATTATCGCACCCATACCAGGCTCAAAGAGAACTGTTTAGACGAAATCTGTATAAGATGTTAGTATGGCCGGGTTTTAATACTCTCTATACTGATGCCTTTAATAATCTTACCGCAACGGAAACAGCATTGTGCAGCCCCATAATGTCAATGGAAAGTAGATCTCAGAGGGAAGTAGTTATCAGCGGACATTCAGTTGGTGTGGTGCAAAATGTTTCCCTGATACACAGGAGCGCTGTCCTCTGCAGTCTTTTGAATTTGGAGTTGGCCAGCAGACTACAGCTCCATAGAGAAGTACAGACCTCACAACTGAAATTTCGATCGATCTATCGCACTTTTGAGGTTGCAGGTATATAAGGACGCCTCGCACATTCTTCCCTCTGACCCTCTGAGTTCCTTGACTAACTTAATTTTCCATCCAGAATGAATCTTGAAAGGTTATTTGACCTACCACCAATCGATATCGCAGTGGAGACCAGTGCTGTGAAATCTGCAAGAAGATTGATGACGTTAGAGAGCCTTTTGACGCAGCGGAACTTTCGGACAAAATAGACTTCAAGCTGTGTTGAAGAAGGATAGTAGGCGTGTGAACTAGTGACCCACCAAACATAGCTTTTGGATTGGATAAATGTCCTTGGAAGCAAGGAAGAGAGAAAGCAGTGCTCCCGATGGTAGACGGCTACATACATACTGGGGTGCTGATATTTCCAAAAATGCGATTTGGTTTACTAGTCAGCAGTACAGAAAATACGAGTGTCCGCAAGAGCTGAGCTCCGGTACAGAATAAGATGGAATGCATTAGCGACATTCAAAGTTCCCAAGATCATTTGGAATAGCAGTAAAAGAAATAATAATTTCTTGCTTACACGATCAGGACAGTTGTTGGCCAATTGACGGGTTGCAATCTACTGGCATCCCATGCAGGCAGAGTAGGTATTACTAGCAGTGACACATGTAGGAAGTGTAAGGAGGTGAGAATGAGTGAGACATTACAGCATCTCTTCTGTTTTGGCCTTCGCAGTTGAAATGACTAGTGGTGGCTTTATTGATTTACGAGAAAAGCATTGACGTTGAATAAAAAAATTGGCTTTTGTGCTTTTGTTACGAGAAACATTTGCCAGTTAACGTTATATTTTATTTTATTTTTTATTTTATTTTATTTTACTTTTTTATTAAATTTTACTTTATTTTACTTTATTTTATTTTATTTTATTTTATTTTATTTTATTTTATTTTATTTTATTTTATTTTATTTTATTTTATTTTATTTTATTTTATTTTATTTTATTTTATTTTATTTTACTTTTTTATTAAATTTTATTTTATGTCATTTTCATTTTTCATTTTATTTTAATTCATTTCTTAATTAATTTTTAATTAATTAATTTATTATAATTTTTTAATTTTGCCTTTTTTGTTTAACTTTTTTTCCTTTTGTTTCATTTGGTTTATTTTGTTTTAATTTAATTCATTTTATTTAATTTTTTATATTTGTTTAACTTTTAAAATTATTTTACTTTCCCATTATATTTTATTTTACTGAGTTTTTTATTTAAACTCATTTCTTATTTTAAATCAATTTTATAGTAATTTATTTTTATTATATTTTATTTTATTTCTTTTATTTTAACTGTTTAATATTCTTTTATTTTCTTTTGTTTTATTTAATTTAATTTTAATTTTTTTGTTTTATTCTCTTTTTATTATTATTATTATTTTATTATCTTCTATTTTATTTTTTTGTTTAATTTTAATTTAGTTCATTTCATTTTCATTTTTTTTTTATTTTTTTTAGTTTTAATTTAAAATTAAATATTATTTTATATTATTTTACTTTACTTTTTGATTTTATTTTAATTTATTTTGTTTTAATTCATACAAATAATTTAATTTTATTTTTTTAATTTGATTTAATTTATTTTATTTCATTTTAAGTTTTAGTTTATGTATTTATTTAATTCGATGTCGTTTTCTTTAAAATAAGGTTTTACTTCTTTTTACTTTTTTCTTAATTTTACTTACCATAAGTTCTTTAACGGTTCAAAGAAAATCAAAGAGATTTCAGTACTAATTAATACTAAATATATTTGCCACGGACATTTCAAAGGAATTTTCATTTATTTGTTGGAATATAATTTACATAAATTTGAACTTAATCTGCGTGTGGCATGTGACTGCTTGACATAATGACAGGATAAAAGATTTTATCTAAAAATAATAACAATATTTCTCAAAAACAATTAATCAAAATTCGCAGTCGAAAAGTATGCAAAGTAATTTTTAAGGAATAAGCAATTAAATTACCAACAAAATCATTTGCTCTTGACACATTTAAAGAAAGTCTACATTTCGGCTGTCATTTCCACTAAGAAAGCAAATAGATTTTAAAAATGACAGATTTTTGGTATTAGTGGGTAATAATGTGAAATATTATTAAAATCAAATTTAATGCCATTCTTTTGCGCTTTTCGCATTAACTCAAATTTCTCAATATTGTTACGAATGTATGTGCGTATGTATTATAAAATTTCTTAACTAATAAATTTCTTTTGTTGTAGATTTTGTGGCATTCTATCGGAGGCATAAATTTAATCAGTTATTAATATCAACTCAATTAGGCGCTTTAATGCGTAAAGTAATTATAAGTAAATATAATGGATCCTCTAAACATATCATACCTGTATATATATATATATATATATATATATATATATAAGTATATATGCGTACGCATTCTCATGTATGCACTTAAGCTTTTGATTATATATAACAGTGCAATCGTTTACTGGTGTTTGTATGCAAATCAAAGATGTACACACGTATGTATGTAAATATTAAATTCCTTGTATATAATCGTCTATGTATTTATCAGCAGTATGCAACCGTAAATTCTTATATAAGATAGATTAAATGCACATTCCTATAAGCATTTGTGCACACATACATACTTATATCTATAATTATTTACACAACGTAGTCATACCTTCTGTTATGCGGATATAAATTTGTCAGTATGCAAATGCAATATATGTGTGATGTAAATTTCGCACTTGATTAAGCAATATATTAAGAACGTGGAAATCTTTTGGAAGGCGCAAACAATTTATTTTAAGGGTAAATATGTGTGAATAAATATCAATAAATACATTTAAAGTATTATCCAGTATATCTTAGAGAATTGCAGTGTATGTGTATGTACATACAGAGTCTTCTGGTGATTCTAGGTATGTGTACTTTGGAGTACAAACACATATATATAACTTCAATCTCTATCTTGATTATGGCAGAGAATTTATAATCCACAAGGCGTATTTGCTTGCAACGAAAATCCGAATTAAATCCATTTTTCATAAAAATTTTTTTTTTTCCAAAAATTTAAATAAGTTTTATTGATCACTTTCAAGCAGTTTTTGGCTGGGCTTCTCTACAAATATAATCAACAGATGAATTCAATGGAATTTTGTGAAAAGCTCGTATAGGTAATTATACAACCAATGATGTTAGCAATTCGCATTTCCTTCGGAAGTAATTACATGTGGAAGCGAGGATTTAGTTTTGTTTCCCTTTCCCCTAATCTCCTCATTATTGTTTGACATTGGAAGCGCACTCGACTTTTTTTGGTGTATGTACTTGTATTATATTTATATATAATATTAATAAATCGCCAAGCTACATAAAGCACCCACAACTTCATTAACGCTTGTGGTTTTTGCGGTCTGAGGATAATTACCTACTGTACAGTAATAATTGAATATTAACAGAATTTAAAATAATAAACAAAATAACCTCTAATAAATTCAATTTATGAAAAAATAAAATACAATAAAATAAAGCAAAATAAAATAAATAAAAAACAAAATAAAATAAAATATAATAAAATAAAATAAAATAAAATAAAATAAAAT